TGCCGATGAAGAGGCCCCAATGAGCTTTGCTGTCCAGCTTGAGTCTCTTTGCATCTGGAACACGGTATTGGGCCATGGAACCAAAAACACGAAGCATAGACAGATCTGGTTTAACTCCAAACCAAGCCTCATATGGCGTTACACCTTCCGGTAAGGGCCTTGTGGGTCTCCTGTTGCGAACATAAATTGCCATAGTGATTGCCTCACCCCACCAGAGCTTGTCAAGGCCTTTGAACTGAAGGAAAGTGGTAGCTATAGCCTGGATAGTGCGATGAAACCTCTCTGCCACTCCATTTTGCTGAGGACTATAGGGACAAGTGAACTGTTGTTTGATGCCCAATGCCAACAACTCCCCCTGAAACGCTTTCCCCATGTACTCACCTCCTCGATCCGACCTCAAGGTGAGTAACTTCTTCCCTGACTCTCTCTCAACAAGTGCTAGCCATTGCTTGAAACACTTGTGAACTTCATCCTTGGTGTTGATGAAAAAGGACCACGAGAAACGACTCTTGTCATCAATGAAAGACACCAAATATCTCTTACCGTTTCGAGTAGGGTCTCGCATGGGGCCGAAGACATCAGTGTGGACCAACTCTAGGAGGTCCCTTGACTGAGACTTAGAAGGGAAGAATGGCTTTCTAGCTAGTTTACCTTCCACACAAGATGGACATGGAACGGAAGAAAGGGACTTGACTGCACTTTCATTCAAACTCAATCCTTCCACGCTCTTGTGATTTACCAACTCTTTCAATGCTTGCACTCCCACGTGCCCCAAGCGTGCATGCCATACCTCAGCTTGGGAGATACTCCCTTTGTTGTTGACTTGATCGGTTGAAACAGCGGGAAGCGAGACAACGTCGTTCTTCGTGTTGCTAGCACCGCGCTTAATCTCCAACTTCATCTTGTAGAGCCGCCCGGTACGCTCGCCTTCAGCCACCAGATTTCCTGCACTGTCCCACACTTTGGCTTTCCCCCCTTGCAAGAGAACGGAGGCACCTTTCTCTTCGAGTTGTCCGGCTGAGAGCAAGTTTACTCCCAAATCAGGAACAAACAAAGCTTTATTGACACAAAATGACTTACCATCCTTTTCGAACTCAAGCTTGCCGACTCCTTTGATTGGTACTTTGCCAAGATCAGCAAGAGTCACAGCTTTTGAGTCATATGAGGGCTGAAAATCCTTGAGAATGGACTGATAGGGAGTCATGGTTTCAGAGCAGCCACTATCAAGAATAAACTCCTCACTACTAGTAGAGAAAACGTGCATGCAAGTAGCAGCGTTAAAAAGGACAGGACCATCGGACTCTTTGGACTCATCTTGACTTGTAGAATGACTTGCTATATTTGCTATGGCTGCCTTACCTTTTTCAGATAGTAGCTGAGGTGGGGGGACCCAATTAGGAGGCTTCTTAGGACAAGCATACCACGGGTGACCCCACTCATGACAACAAAAACACTCAAAATTAAACTTTTTAGCATTCGGGGCTTGGCTGAAATTATTGACTCTTGGCACATTGACTCTTGCATTCCTAGGCTGGTATTGATTGGGAATCGAAGGCCTTGGCTGGACATAGTGACTGGACTTATAGGGAGGACTTGACTGAGGAAAACGAGAGGGTTTGTATGGGTTGGAAGGTGACTGAAATTTCGTACCGTAGTAGGGTTGAGGGCGGTTTGGGCTGAAATTTCCTTGCCTCTGGAATTGGTTGCCATATCTTGTGGCTGCTGCAGCACTCCACGCACCTTCGTCACTCCGCTTGTTCCGTGCAAGGTCTCGACTCTGCTGCTCGTTGACAAGGGCCTCAAAGATGAACGCACGACTCTTCATTGACTGCGGGAGCGCTTGTAGTGTTGCACGGAAAGTGTCCCACTCCGGTGTAAGGCCGGTGAGGATGACGGTCTTGAAAAGAGACTCTGGAATCTCCAAGCCGATCGCTGCTGCTTCCTCCAGCATTGCTTCAGCTCGTTGTAGGTAGGCTTGTGCTGATTCATCTTCTTCCATCTTCAGATTCATGAAGCGGCTCCACATCTCGGCTTGGCTGCTCTCGGATTTTGACTGGTGCATAGTCTTCAGTCGGCTCCATGCTTCCTCTGCACTGTTTGCCTTGGTAGAACAGGGCAGGAGCGACTTCAACTGCTGCTCGTGAATGCTATTGAGTAGGTAGAGGAAGGCCTCCTTGTTGCGTCGTTCGTAAAGTCGTTTTTCAGCTTCTGAAGCATCTGCTGCTGGTTTGGCTGCTTCTCCAGTGTAGTAAGGCCACAGATCCAGAAGGGATGCAGTGAGCTCAAACTGAGTTGCCCATGTTGGAAAATCTTTGCCGTTGAACTTGGGGAGGTGAAGCTTAGGCATGAAGGAGGTGAGGGGTGAGTATGTTGTTGAAGGACTGCCTGGTGCAACTGCTTCCACTAATCCAGTAGCTGCTGATGTTGACTCTGAAGCTCCTCCGGCTGGCTGGAGTGCAGGACCAGATGGATTGTCTCCCGCCATGTTCGTATGGTGCTAGGATAGGAACGTGGTGGGCTAGGTTGATCGAAACGACAAGCTCTGATACCAACTTGTAAAACAGAGTAGCTGTGACTACTGGAGGGCTGGAAACTTGGCTGGAAAGTCTTAGCAGGGCTGCTGGAATTGACTGGATGAGGTAAAACTTCACTATGTTCAAGATTAACAAGCCCACTAAAGCACAACTCTAGGCATCACAAACAAGACAGATTGAAAGCTCAAACTAGGCTGATAGACAATGTAACTTCCCTGGTAACTTGGGCACAATCTAGATTGGATGGACCTTGAGTGACTTTGAGTGCCACATGAGGTGCATGAATAAGAAAACTCTGGATATTTCTGTTATAGCTGATTCTGATGTGTAGAAACCTGTAGAAACTGCCAACACTTCGGTTTGAAGGCAGCTTTGAACTATATCGAGTCTTCGGCTGAAATCTGATTGGTGGTGGAACTTTCGAAGTACTTCCCGAAGCTCTGATTCATCGCCGACATTCCCCCTTGCTGCTGCTTGTGTGCAAAGGGCTGGGGCGGCAGAAACTCGATTCTCCAACACATCGATCGCCTTGGAGGGGACACGATCGTTGTCGCCAGGCTACTGTACATGACGAAAACGAAAAAACTAACCACTTAACGACTTCGCGAAATACTGTACCTGCGGCACACCGACCCTGCGCAGGGTCGATGTGCTACAAGAGTTGCTAGTAGTCACAGCGCTTTGCCTCGAAACTTTACCTAAACGCAAAAAACTTCAAACGAGCCGCTCAGACATGCACAGAAGCTCACTCCACCGCAATCAATTGAACTCACGTGACACTGCAGTGGGGGTTTGGGGGGCATCCTTTTGAGGCGTGCTGATTGGCTTGCGAATGTGCATTGCCGAGATGTTCTCAGAACCTATGCGACAGTTCGCTACTGGCAGGGGTCCGTCTGCCATCCCCACCACCTCGGCGGTGTTCGCCAGCACATGTGAGATTGCAAGAAAAAGGCCGGCATCGGACTTGTAACGGCATCAGGAAGCGGGGCCGGAACCCTCCGAAGAGGTTTGGGCGAAATGCCACTCGCGAAAGTTCGGGCCCCGAAATGGGAAACTTTACAACCGCATATGGAAACTGCTTCCCTACCTTCCCCCTCTGGTTGTGGTTACCCTCTGACAGCCAATTACATCTCCAACCCACGGCAATCCACCGTGAAATGGTGGATTGCGATGGGATGGCATGAGACAGGACGTTTGCCAGGGGAGGAAATCACATCCCCATTTCCGAATGCCATGATTCCATCCGAAATTTGAGAAAAACGAGGGCGTTCGCCTGGCAACGAAGATTGCATTTGGGTCGGACGGCATCCTAGCTTCGGCAGGAATTTTTTGGGCTGACCAGGCTGACGGAGCTTGACGAACCCTAACTGACGGGATCAGGAAGGCGGGAATGACCTTCCTGATCCCGTCGTTTTTGCTTTCAAAGGTGCTGGCGAACACCACCCTCGATTGAATGCCGTTCACCACTTTCTAATCCTGTTTTCAAGCGATGAGCCTTCGACTTCCACAGCTCGAATGTGGACCAGCCAGTGCTCTCTGGTAACAGCAGCGTTGTTCCACCAGCACTGGTCCGGCGTGGGTCGGCGAGGTCCGTCTAGCAAGCACCGTCTGTCTTCGCCAAACTTTGTTACCAGAAACAAAATCCGTTTGCAAATGAGAGGTCACCTCCCTTCAACTCGTCACTGCGATAGCCCTGACCTTCGTTGTCACGAAAGTGATTGTTCGGTTACCTTGCTCTTTGCGACCGCGGCTTGACGAGAGCATTGTCTGAATACCCTAGCAAAGATTCGTCTCACTCGTCCCTACTGGCAGGTCAGAGCGCATGCAGAAGGCTGCATGCAATGTGTCATGGCGCCACTGGACCCGTCCCTACTAGTAATGACTACAAGGCAGTCCCCCAGCAAACGAAAGCAGCCTCGATAGATGACCAAATGGCAGCCCTATGTTTCAATAGCTGCATGCATGCTCCAGGCGGCGGAAATTTGCTTCCAGCAACCGCTTTCCATTGTGGCGGGCAACTTTCCCTACCTGGGAGTCCACTTTCAGAGTCGCGAACTGGTTTTCTGGTATTGATAGTGGTTCTTTGTTTGTAGGGACCAATCACTTCAGGTTCTTCAGGCCATTGTGCCTTGTGATTCTGTTGCGTTAAGATTCTTGAAGTCAGCCAGGTAAGGAGGGATATCTTCGTCCCATCGCCCTGGAGATATGTCGGGAAAGATTTAGATATTCATCTCATTAGTAACTGCTCCTAGGGTGATGTACCCGCCCAAATTTGCCTGATGCGACATGTGTCTTGCGTCCCTTTTGACAAAACTGCATCAATCATAAATCAGCCACTTTTAGCTGATCGCCTTCCACCCACGCTTCCTCTCCCCACCTGTCATGCCCCCCCTGTTTTCTCTGAATTTTAGGTGTGAAGTTGGAAAGCTGGGAAAGGGACTACTCGTTTGTAGTGGTCCGGACGCTATGGCAGGTAGACGCGGTTTTTTGGTTCCCCACAGCGTTTGTAGCCCTTTCTTCTCCTCACCATCCCTTGGTTCCTCTAACGTCACTTGTCCTCCCCCCCTTGCGTTTTACACAGTCAAAGCTGTACATGATGTCCTTGAGGTCTCCCCCTCCTCCCATCATCCCTGTGTTCCCTTCGGTACCCTTACTCATCTCGCTCCTTGCTCATCATATCCATTAGCTTTACTCTTTCGCCCCTGTAGCCATTTCTCCATTCTTATCCATTTCTCCTTCATAATAGATTGCATGTTCTGTTGCAACCGTTGCAGAATTTATAACTGGCCCATTCCGTGATTGACTTGCTTGCACTGCTCTGTGTGAGGAATAACATTTTGCGTATACCTTGTTCTGCATCTTCTCCCTGTCTTTGATCTTAATTTTCAGCAGACAGCACCCTATCAAGGACCTTTCGTTGGCAGGTTGACGGTTTCTCCAAGGTGGCAGAAAGGAAACTTAATTCCAGGCCCACCTTCCTGGTTGGGGGGTACAACTGGTGTGTGCGCGCCTTGGTTTATGGTGTGCTATTGGTTGGTGGGGGGGTTGAGATATTTAAATGCGGACATTTTCCCATGGCTGTTGCGTCATTCAAAGTATGTGCCTCAGGTGCGCCTTTCCTCCCATTCCCAGGTGAACGACCGGTTGGAGTTCCCGGAGGAGCTGGACTTGGACAGGGGCAGTTGCAAGTACCTCAGCCCGCTCTCCGACAGGAGTGTGCGCAACCTCTACCTGCTGCATAGGTGGGGACGCCTTGGAACTGAATTTGAAGGTTTGCAAAGGTGTTCAGTGGAATTATTTGGAATTTATAATCAGAGCTGTCTTATGGTGTCGGGTTTGAGGCCTTTGTGGGCGACGCTCCTTGTCTGCACAGGCTGGGCTGTTTGCCTGATCTCCAGTGTGTGCTGCGAGTTTTTGAAATTTCAATCGTGTGAAAAATGTATGCCGATGCTTGTTTAGTCGTCCCTGCTCTCCCTCCCTCCCGTTTTCCCTATATCCACAGCTCACGTACGCCTCTCCCTTCTCCCCATCTCGATTCTTGGTCTCTCTTTGACTCTGTGGCCTCCTCCTACTAGCGTACTGTACCATTCCTCGCCCCAAGGCCCTCTTTCATATCCTCCTGCCACTATGCATATGTCTCTGCCTCACACAACCTACACACACATGCACACGCTCACACACATGCATACGCGCACACGCACGTGCACACATACACTGACATACGCATTGCTGCATGCATGCCCATCCTCACAGTGTTGTGGTCCACACTGGCAACGCTGTCGACGGGCACTACCACGCCCTCATTTGCCTAGACCTCGCACGCCAGTGGTGAGTGAGCTCGCCTGCATTTCCGTACTCTTTATGCTGAGCTGCTCATATGCACTTGCTCATGCAAAAAAATATGCTTCATTTTCTGTTTGTTTAAATGGAATTAGTAGTCATAATGCTCTAGTAACAAATGTTATATATGACTTGAGAAATTCTGATTATTTTGAAGACCATACGTATTTCATTTCAGCTCGGTCACCCATCTTGGTCCCGTCCCTTCTTTGTTCTTCCCAAATCTGACTCCTCGCCTTCTCTCCAAGCAGGTTCAAGTTTGATAACGAACAAGTGACGAAGGTGGAGCAGTGTGGGGGGGATGAAGAGGTAAGCCGTTACAAACCTAGAGATCAAGGGACTTTGGTCTTTCTGATTACACTCTTTATGACAAAGGTTTCAACAGCATAAAAGTGGCTACACTCTCACGGCCTTGTGATGTCCTCTCTTGACTTCCCTCTCTTATCCTACCTACCTGCTTGCCCCTTCCCCCACGTGTGCCTTGTATTGCATGTCTTCCACCTTGCGCTTAGTACTCCAACGCCTACATCCTTACCTACATTCGGCAATCCGACCGGGACAAAATTCTTTCCAGCGTTGACGAGAAGGACATTGCGCAGCACGTGCGTGTAAGTATTTGTTCAGTCGAGCATTTCTTTCAGTGTGCATCCGTTGAGCCTTCGGTAACCAGCAAATCCCATCGACCGATGACCAACTGTGGATCGTGTCATTCCTTTTGTGTCGGTTTACATAGTGATTCCCTTATTGGTCCCACTTCCCAACAAGTCGGGTTCTAGCTATTAACATTGTTTTGTTTGTCTATATCCCTCGCCTTTGCAAATTTCTTCTCTTGTTCCCTGCCAAGTTTGCTGATGACGGTTGTTGTTTCAGCCCTGTTTTTTTGCTACTTTTTGCTGACCTGATAACCCTCCGTTCCTGATTGCAGACTCGGTGGAAGTTGGAACAGGAGGCGCAGGAGCAAAAGCGGAAGGAAAACACAGAGACGGATCTTTTCACTGTCAAAGTGTCACGCGATGAGGACATGCGAGGGCAGATTGGCCGGACCGTTTACTTTGATCTTGTGGACCAAGACAGAGTGAAGAGCTTCCAAGTACAGAGCAATACGACTTTTTCGGAGCTCAAGAGAAAAGTTGAGAAGGAACTGGGGACCTCAGTGGCGGTGCAGCGGTTCTGGCTGTGGGGGAGGAGGGAGAATGACACGTACCGGCCAAACCGGCCACTGAATACGGAGGAGGAGCACATGACGATGAGAAACGCAGAAAAGGGTGTAGAAAGCGAAGAATTGGGGAGGATGCAAAACTAGGGAAGATGAGGTTGGGTCAATGTCTGGAGAGTGGAAGATGAGAGTAAGAGCAGTTTGCAAGGGAAGAGCCTATGGATGAGAGGGAGGTGACGATACTGATTGGAGGAGCGTGAATATGTCGATGAGCCTCATACTTGGGGCAGAAGAAGGAATGGATGGTCTGTATATTAGTGGGCCGGACGCTTAGTGGGCACTGGGAAAATAGCGTACCAGCTGAGGTTGCTACATGTTTGATGCTTTGGAGATTTGGCGTACATATTATCACAGTATAACGTGATCTTACATGGGTGCTAGTTAGGAATGTCTGTTGTGTCGTGAGGGTAAGTCATGAGTAAGAAAAGGGCTGAGCTGAGGCATGAACTATGCTAGTCCCCCCATGCTCCGTTCTTGTCCAGGTCGGACAGCTAACCGATTCGGCTGGTATATCAGGCACTAAAGAGCTCTGCCTTTTTCTTGAAGGCACTTCTTCCATCCCAGTAAGGCAATTACTCACTGCTGGCATCGTCAGCCCGCCTCCCCATGTACACCTTCACTTTTCCCTCTTGCCTAACACGCATGTGGATTACACACAGATTGTTGTTCGTATCTTAACTCTGAACTCTGAATTTATTCCACTTTTCTTGCATCATAACCTTAAGTGTTCATGTCTTTTTGTCATTTCCCTTGCACACCAATCACTCTACTTATTGAGAATGTCTGGTAGCTCTTAGGTGTTTCAGGGCACTTGCATTCCATTTCCTCTGCCATTCCTCCACTTCATCACTGCCAGAATTCTTCGAAGCTTGCTTTGCACGATAGGGCAAAAGATTACATTCTGCTTTTTGTGAAGCTTTACGACCCCGCTCTTAGAATCATTAGGTAAATAAAGTTTTTTTTGTAGATCTATTGAGTTCCGATTCGCCGTACTACATCTCTTGCATGATTTGTTGTCTTGCTTTGCTTCGGTATTGCGCTCTGTATCTGGTCCATGCGGTCATGCAGATGTTATAATCAGCCGCTTCTTTCTGTCTTCCTCTCTCGCACTCATTGCCCTTATCCCTCGTCAAGTTAGCTTCTCTGTGATTTTTTTACCTTGCTCTCCCTCTCTGTGATTGCACCCCCTCATCTCAGGTGCATGGGTCACCAGTTCGTGAGTCTTGACAACATGCCCAAAGATGTGCAGGAATGGATTAATAAGATGTGTGGCTTCACAGCGAATCAGGACATTCAGCTATTTGAGGTCTGGCCACGCAATTGAATTGACGAGCAGGGGTGGCAGGGTTTTGTGCGTTGTTAATCCGTGTCCATAGTTTATATGGCTGCGAAACGCATGCTGGAAATGTCCCCTTCCCCCATGCACTCCCTCTCACTATGTACTCCATGCCTCGAGTGACTCAGTCTCGTTCCGTCCCGGTGCCCCTCAGAATCTTTCCCCCTTTGACCGCGCTTTCCCTCGCTATCTTTCCCCACCCCAAATTCTTTTCCTCGTCTCCTCTCCAACCTTTTTTGTCCCTTATCAGGAAGTTCAATCTATTCCGAACGTGGTTTGTAACCCAGTGAGCGAGGAGGTCACCTTTCGGGCGAGCAAACTGGAGGATGGTGGCATTCTGTGTGTGCAGAAGAGGCTGTGAGCCCGGCAGAGAAGATGGGCTTGCAGCATCCTGAGGTGCCCTCGTTCCTCCAGTCTGTGCAGACCCGACAGCTGGTGCGGTGCAGACGACTGGAGGAGCCCAACCAAGATTCCTTCTGCCTCTTGCTGTGAGTTCTTGTCTCTAGTTGTTTTGATGCTGGTGTCACCAATGGTATGCATTCAGTCTTTATTGGTTGCAAGGATGTCGGATTATCTCGACAAGCAGATATGCTGAAACTTTATTCTTCTGAAAGGTTTTGATGATTTTTTTTCCTCCATTACACCCGGGTCATGCTAGTTAGAATAGGTAGGCAGATGAGCTTCAGTTGGGCAAGCAGTTTTCTAATGTCCTCTTTCTTCTCTATCTTGGCTTGTTTGTAACGATTTGCTTCCCTCCCCACCTCTCTCTCCCGCCACCTCATGTTTCTTCTCCCGCCACAGTTCCAAGCAGGATACGTATGATGATGTGGTGCGTGAGCTGGCAGAGAAGCTTAAGCTACACGACCCTTCAACAATCCGCCTCACGGCGCACAACTGCTACTTGCAGCAGCCGAAGCAGTCGCCCGTCAAGTTCCGCGGTGTTGATAGCCTTGAGGACTTGCTCACCCACCACGACCAGGTACCTCGGCTGCTGACCTGCTATACACGCATGCTCTTGAGGTGCTCAACATATCTCCTGGAATCGAATGTCAACTGTTTTGAGGTTTGGTTGCAAGGTGCTCTAAAGAGCACATGGCAAGGGGTCCTTTGTCGAATATCTTGTAGGTTCCTGCCTTCTAGTTTTCGCTCCTCATCCCGTTTATCCATTTTTCTCATTTTCTTTTGTCTCTCACCCACCTCCTTCCTCAGCTTCTCTCTTCGTGTTCTGCACTCCCTTTGCCAAAGGACGTCACCTCCATCCTTGAACTACGAGCTTCTTTATGTCTCCTGCCCTGCCTCACAATCTGCTTCAACCGCAGACAACGGATATTGTCTACTTTGAAACGCTGGAAATTCCGCTGCCCAAGCTAGAGCGTCTCAAGTCTCTCGGCATTGTGCTTCCTGCTGTAAGACACAGGATATGTGGTCAGTCATAAAAAAATCCCAATGCAGTGTGTAAGCCATGTGCAGTCAGTGGCCTGGAAATGGCCTGGAAGTGTTGCAGTGCAATCAATGCCGTCATGCACATAGGCAGTTGGGTTGTGAGGTATTGCATTTGTAATCACCTGGCAGTCCTATTCCTTTTCCCTGCGCACGCAGGAAGAATGAAGAGCATGAATGAACCACAGCCTTCTGTGAAGATGGATCTGGAGCAGGCCCGTGGATTGGTTACAGACTTCTCTGATTTGTCAGACTCGCTCGGCGTTGTTGTCTATTTTTTCAGAGTTAGTTGGCTTGGTTTGGCTAAACAGAAAGTATTTTCAACAATATACTACCACCCACTGAATCATAGTCATGAAGAAAAATCCTTGTATCGTTTTGGAAGGGCTGCCTTCCTGTAACTCAACCTCCCACAGTCAGCATATAAAATTTCACAGCTTAGCAGTATTTGTTAATGTTTACCATGATGTTCTGACGGAAATTTTATCTCGCATTCTACGATGCTCAAAAGCGGCATTACCACAGCTACCCATAACGAGGCTTGGGTACCCTCGCTTTTGCCTGCACGACCTCAGCTCGCCACACGCACTGCAGCTCTTGTTCGTGAATAATTCGTTTCTGCCAATTGTACCCTTCAGTTCAATCATTCACCTCTTCATCACCGCGCGTGCCGCCGTAGCCTTAACCTCCCATACACCCCTTCGTTCACCCTTGACTCAGCCGTGATGGCGCTAAAGTTTTTGAACAAGAAGGGGTGGCACACGGGGAGTCTGCGCAACGTGGAGAAGGTGTGGAAGGCGGAGCAGCGGGAGGCGGACGAGCGCAAGAAGGTGGACGAGCTGCGCAAGCAGATCGCGGACGAGCGCGAGGCGGAGGAGTTCCAGCGCCTACGGGAGCAGGCGGGGCTCGTCCCGTAAGTGTCCGCGATAAGATAATAATGTGCTTTTTTTTTTTTTTTTTTTTTTTGCAAGCCACTTAGTTTTTTTCCGTCGAGTAAGCAATATTCTTAGCGTGGCTATGATGCGACGGGCCGTCGGGGGTAACGCAGCCTGCCCCGGCTTGTGTCTTGAAAAGACCCTTCAAACCCGCCTTCCCCCCCCTCCCCCGCCCTCCCCGCCCTCCCCGCCCTCCCCGCCCTCCCCGCCCTCCCCGCCCGCCCGGATCACAGGCTGCAGCAGCGGGTGGACTTTCTGTATGAGTCAGGGCTGTCGACTGGCAAGGGCATGGAGGGAGGCGGCATGGGCGGCATGGGAGGGGCGTCCACGGACGAGCTCATGTCGCACAAGGTGGACTTCTCCGCCTCCGCTCACACAGGCGCCCCCCCGCCCATCTCCAAGGTGCGCTCCCCATCCCCCCTACCCCCTTCCCCCCATCCCCTGCCCATCTCCAAGGCGCGCTTCCCATCCCCCCATCCCCATCTGCACACTCGTCTCACTGTCGTCAAATGTCCCTCCCTTCGCATCCACTCATCCCCCCCTTTCCTTCGCCCTCTCCCCTCTCCTCTCCTCTCCCCTCTTCCCCCCCACTTCGCCCCTCCCCTCCCCCCCTTACTCCAGGCCTCCACTGTCCCGGGTTCTCTGTTCGAGGGGGAACAGGGGGAGGAGCAGGCGGGACCGCCAGTGGTGAGTGCGAACGAGATGTGGCGGCGGTTGCATTCGGACCCGCTCGTGCTCATCCGGCAGCGCGAGCAGGAGGCACTGACTCGCATCCGCAACAACCCCGTTAAGATGCAGATGATCCGCGCTCAGGTGAGGCAGGGAGAAGGGGGGGATGGCGGGGATGGGTTGACGAAAGGGTTACTGCAGTGGTGTTGTGCCCCAGGTAGGATGCAGAGGTACGATAGGAGCAAGAGGTACGATGGGAGCAAGAGGTACGATGGGAGCAAGAGGTACGATGGGAGCAAGAGGTACGATGGGAGCAAGAGGTACGATGGGAGCAAGAGGTACGATGGGAGCAAGAGGTACGATGGGAGCAAGAGGTACGATGGGAGCAAGAGGTACGATGGGAGCAAGAGGTACGATGGGAGCAAGAGGCGCTCACTCGCATCTGCAACAACCCCGTCAAGATGCAGATGATCCGCGCTCAGGTGAGGCAGGGAGAAGGGGGGATTTGAGAATGGTGGGGATGGTGGGGACGGCAGCACAACAGGTAGGATGCAGCTGGTGAGAGAACAGGTGATGTGAGAAGAGGGGCAGGACAAGTGGGGTTCTGGAGGGAGGTTCGTTCTTCAAGTGGTGCTTTGAGCGCCTTGCATGCTGCTGACTGCTCACTCACTTTTTTTCTGTCTCTTTTTTTCCTTCACAGGCTGAGGCTGTGAAGGGAAAGACGCAAAGCAAGAAGGAGAGGAAGAGGGAGAAGAAGGAGAGGAAGAGGAAGCGTAAGGAGGAGCGGCGGGCGAGGAGGGAGAGGAAGAAGCGAAGGAAGCAGAGCGACAGTGAGAGTGAAAGCAGCAGCAGCGACAGCGATGGCAGTGGTAGTGAGCAGAGTGGGGAGGAAAGGCGTGGTGGAGGCAAAGGGGGAGGGGACGGGAAAAGACAGGCCGGGCTGGGGCAGGGTGGGATGGAACAGGGGAGGATGGTGCAGGGAGGGAAGGAGAAAGGGCCGGAGGTGGGTGGTAGAGGGGATGATGCAGGTGAGGGGGAAAGAAAGCATGGTTGGGATGGTGAGAGAGCGAACAGGGACTTAGATGGCAGGGGCGGGAAGTTCGAAGGAAGGGAGAGGAGGAGTGATTGGGGTGGCAGGGAGGAGAGGCGTGGTAGGGATGATGAGGAGGGGAGGATGGAGCGTGGGAGAGGGGTGAGTGGAGAAGGGGAAAGGCGAGTAAGGGAGGAGTTTAGGGCTGGTGGTGGTGGGAGGAGGGATGAGGAGGAGAGTCGTGAGAGGGGAGGGAGAGATGATAGGGAAAGGAGAGGTGAGAGGGAAGGGAGAAGTGAGAGGGAAGGGAGAGGTGAGAGGGAAGGGAGAGGTGAGAGGGAAGGGAGAGGTGAGAGGGAAGGGAGAGGTGAGAGGGAAGGGAGAGGTGAGAGGGAAGCGAGAGGTGAGCGGGACGGGAGAGGTGAGAGGGAGTGGGATGCTCAGGGTAGGAGTGAGAAAGAGAGGTATGTGAGGGAGAGGATCGAGAGGGCAGGAGGGGACGAGAGGGAGGGGTATGGCAGGGAGAGGAGTGAGAGGGAAGGGGGGGACGTGAGGGGCAGGTATGGCAGGGAAAGTCGAGATGGAAGGGGGAGAAGTGAGAGGGGAAATGCAGAGGAGAGAGGGGGTCGTGATGCGAGGGAGAGGAGGGATAAGGATGAGACTGAGCCAGTGGGAAGAAGAGCGGCGAGATGGGAAGAGCAAGGGAGACGAGTGAAGTCGGGACGAGAAGCAGTGCTTTCACAGGAGGGAGAGGAAGGGAAAACAAGGGATGTGAGTGAAGGAGGGAGAGGGAAGAGGGAGAGAGGGAGAGAAGGGGGGGAGGGAAGGAGAGGTGAGGCAGTAGAGGCAGTGAGGGGCGCGAGGCAGAGGCATGACAGCCCTTCAGAGAATGAGGGGAAGAGTGATGGTGCTGAGGGTGGGAAAGGCGGGGGAGGTGGTGGCAGGAGTGCAGCGCAGATAGCACGGGAGGGTAGGGAGAGGACTGGTGATGTGGCAGCTAGGGCAGGAGGAGCGAGGCAGAGGCATGACAGCCCTTTGGGAGGCACGAGGCAGAGGCACGACAGCCCGTCAGACGGCAGCGATGGGGAGGAGCGCAGAGCAGCGCCTCTCTACGGCCTCTCCTTCCACCGCATGGCGCCCTCCCCTCCTCGCACCGCCCCACCTGCACCACCACCTGCACGTGCACCCTCACCTACTGCTGCTGCTGCTGCTGCCCTCGAGTCTGGTTGTGCTGCAGGCACGGGCAGGAGAGAGGAGGGCCCTGGCAGTCACAGCCAGAATAGGCCGGGGGGAGGGCGGCAAGGGCGGCAGAAGATGACGGAGGAGGAGATGCGGCGGCGGCTGGCGGAGATGGAGGAAAACGCGGAGGCAGTGGAGGGGGAGAGGCGGGAGCGCATCCAGTGGGCGGCGCAGCGAGATGCCCGCGAGGAGCAGAAGAGTGATGCTGCTGCCCCCCGCGGGACCTTCCTCCGGGTAGGCTTGCACTCGCTTGTTTGTTGCGGTTTTTTGTTCCGTCTTTCCGTTTACATCCTCTACCAAGTTGTGATGGCTTTTTGTCTACATTTCCAGTGACAACATAAGAGAGCATGGTTGTGGTTGTGGCTGGGTGAGCAGGAGGCGCAGAAGGAGATGTATGGGGCGGGCAGTGGGGCGCCAGGGGACGCTGCCCTGCAGGCAGCAGCGGGCACGGGCATGTCCATAGAGAGCAGCATTCGCCGCCGCTCACACTTCCTGGAGAAGGGGAGGGGCGACGCAAGCGCCTTCAGAAGATGATCCGCTCGAGTGCGTGATGAGTGTGGTGTAGCTTGACTCTGAATTGTGGGTCACCACTGCTAAACAATCAAACATTGTCAAGAGGATGACATATTGCGAGCATCAGGTGGTGCAATTACTGATTATCAACGGCTGGTCGCCGTGCATAATGCAATGTCATTCACGGGAAAAATGAAGTTGACTTCAACAGAAATAACTTTTGTGAAACGTCTGATCTGATCTGATCTTCATGGATAAAGGATAGAGTAGTTTCCACATTCCTTGAAGTATTGGGCTTGCCTCTTTCTAAAGTCCAACACCATTCTAGCTATCGGGTATGGTCAAGACGCATATTTACCGCCACTCTTCGAAATTCAAAACATGTCAGTACAGACCTGGCACAAACCGCGGTCTCGGGTTCATTCGGCACACGGTTTCCACCAGGCACCAGCGATATGTAACGCACTGAACCAGATTGCAGAGCTCTCTCTGCCAAGCTTCCGTTCAACCTGCTCGACTGTGGTGGACCTGTGGTCGTTCGCTGGCGGCTCATCTGTGCCTTCCATCCATTCCATCCCCCGTTGAGAACTCCGCATCGCCTGAATTGTACACGAGACGTACGACCCGGACAGGCCAACAATGCCCGACGATGTTCCTGGGCTAGGCGATTCCTGCTTTCGGACCACTACAGGACGGATGAGAGACAATAGAAATCCTATTTGCTAAGAAAGCGCTTACAGCAGTTACGTCGTCGCGCGCTCGGCCGTCAGCCGTTGGTGAAGCGAATAGATAGGGAGGTGTTACTTACACGGATGGGTACTAAACTGTGCTGGACCGGTAAGCGGCAACGAGAATAGCTGGGTGGATCAGTAGCCGGCGATCTCGAATGACTGGGTGGATGCTATTGGTGATAGGTAGGCAAAGAACCGAACAGAAGTACGCGCAGATCCGACAAATATTCTTTCAGTTCAGAAAGTGTTGTAGTGATAGGCACTGACGGGAGCAGGATTTGTGTTCAGGCATTAGCGAATTACTGAATAGACCGATTTCCCGAAGGTTTTCGAAGTTAGGAAGTTTGAGTCAGTATCTACTGGGTCACACCCAACCAGAGTTAGGAAGTTTGAGGCAGTTTTGGCCTGTTTGGGACTCCGGTTTTAACTAATGCACCAGGTGCTGAACCGAGCACAACAGCAGCTGAACCGAGCGCGACAGAAGTTGGACCGGACAAGCATCAGCAGCGCGCGATGGCGGAGGACGCGGTGGATCGACAGCTGGCGCTGGTGGTGGAGATCGAGGAGGCCGGGCGCGCCGCCAAGGTGCAGCTCGAGAACTGCCTGCTGCTCAGCGACCGCCTCGGCATCCTCCGCCCGCTGCTCAAGGTCAGCCGTCGATCCTCCGACCGTGTTGAATCATAGCCGTCGATCTTACCACCTCCTACTACCAAGGTGCAGCTCGAGAACTGCCTGCTGCTCAGCGACCGCCTCGGCATCCTCCGCCCACTGCTCAAGGTCAGCCGTCGATTCCCCGACCGCTGTGTAAAATCAACCGTCGATCGGGGTACCTCCTACATCAAGATGCAGATGTACAGATCTATATTCCACCGCTTCTAGTACCGCCTGGTCGTATGTTAATCGTCGTTCTTACTCGCTTCACAACGATTTTAGTCGGTAATTCTTACACCGCATTTTCAGCTCATCGTTCGGTCGTCGCTGCGCTACACATTTGTGTAGCGCTGTCGTCGATCCGTTGACCACTTCTTACAGTTGCTCGTCAGCCCTCAAGCCGGGTTTCTTTCACTTTCGTCGTTCAGCCGCACCTCTCGTCGCGCACCACTCAAAGGGGAATTGTTTCAGGTCCTTATGTGCAACATTTCGTCGCCAAGGCTACACTCGGCGTATAGCCTCTGTCAGTGAAAAGCAGTGAACGTGAGCGGATGCGAGCGAATGTCAAGAAGCGTCAGTTGATATCAGCGAATAGAAAACATCCGATCCAGCCGTCCCTTCCTCGGCTCGCCTGTATTCAACTGTGTGCCCCTACACTCCTCTCACCTTTCCCTCGTCGGTGCGCGCAGGACATGCGGCAGTGGTTGGCGGCGGTGCAGATGGGTCGACAGCAGGTCGCCATCGACGCCATCCTGCTGCGACTCGAGAGGTGCGCTCGCCTGCCGTCCCTTGCTGGAATCTGTTAACAATCCTGGCAGACTTGATTCCTGATGATCGGGACAATGACGGGGTTGCTGAGAATACCACTGCTGGGGTTGCTGCAATGATGCCGTCATCCACCCTCCGATTCACGCACCTGTCATACATGCTCCAATCCACGCATCCACGATCCTGTCGCGCATGCGGATTCATGCGGCCATGCTGGCAGGTGTTTGAGGCGGTTGAGCACGGTGATTCAATGCTGTGGGCGCTCCAGTCGCCTCTGTGTCTCCAGCTTCTATCGAGACCTGCACTTCACGCTCAAACAGGTGTGCTTCTATCGAGACCTGCACTTCACGCTCAAACAGGTGTGCTTCTATCGAGACCTGCACTTCACACTCAAACAGGTGTGCTTCTATCGAGACTGTGGGAACCCAATTCACATCCGTGCACGTGCACTCACACGCCTCACCTGTGCTCCCATCCCACATGCCCCATGCCACCCCTTTCTTTCCAGGCCTCCCTTTCCCTCGCGGACTGCCTGGCGGACCTAGCAGCCCAGGCCGCCCCCACACTCCCCGAAGCTGCCAAGCAGGCTCGGGCCATCCAGGCCGAGATCCAGCAGCTGAGGTTCGTGCCAGCTGGCAAGCAGGGACAGGCCCAGCTGGCGACAGTGTGCGGGCAGGCGACAGAGCAGCAGCGGCTGCTGCAGCAGCTGCGTGCGTCTGTTTCCTCGCTGCTCTCCCAACTGCGGGAGAAGCAGCAGGGGGTTGTGCTGCGGGAAGGGAGCAGGGAGCAGGTGGACAGGGAATTATTGCGTGTGCTGCAGCAGGTGGAGAGAGAAACCGTGGTGGTGAGGGTGCTGAAGGCGCTGTGCTTCAAGTGTGGGTGGATGGAGGAGACTGTAGTGAAGAAGCTTATAAGGGATCTGGGCGAGCAGAGGCGCGTGGTGGGCACGCAGAGGTGGGCTGTGGATGAGATTCAGCAGTGGCTGAGGCGGCAGGACCTATCAGCTGCTGACACGTGTTCGGTTTCCCTGAGTGGAGCATCGTCGATTAGTGAGGGTGGAGGGGTGGGAGACGGGGAGGAGGAGAGCGTAGGATGGATGAGGGGAGAAGGGTTGAGTGGAGGGGTGGGGGGGAGAGGGACCGGGAGGGGAATGGAGAGAGGGGAGGAGGCGAAGGGGAGGGGGAGGGAGAGTAAGGAGGGGAGGGCAGAAAGAGAGATCCTGGAGGCGTGTGAGGCGATGAAAGGCGCTGGCGATGAGGTGGCGTCGTGGGATTTGCGGCTGGGGAGGCGCGCTGCTGAGCTGGCACGGGACGTGGTGAGGAGTCTGCGGCTGCGCATGGCGGACCACCAGAAGGCGCTGCAGGTGGGCAGGGAATGGGCGGCAGGTGGGCAGGGAATGGGCGGCAGGTGGGCGTGGGACGGGCGGCAGGTGGGCGTGGGACGGGCGGCAGGTGGGCGTGGGCCGGGCGGCAGGTGGGCGTGGGACGGGCGGCAGGTGGGCGTGGGCCGGGCGGCAGGTGGGCGTGGGCCGGGCGGCAGGTGAGCGTGGGACGGGCGGCAGGTGGGCGTGGGCCGGGCGGCAGGTGGGCGTGGGCCGGGCGGCAGGTGGGCGTGGGACGGGCGGCAGGTGGGCGTGGGATGGGCGGCAGGTGGGTGTGGAGGGTTGAGAGGGGGCGGCGGGTGGGGTCACCCGCTCCTTCTGCTGCTAGCCCCATGCCTCCCTCGTTGTGCAATCCCTCCCCACACAGTGGTAGCATGTGGGCCAATCCCTCCCTCCCTCTCTCGCCTCTCTCTCTTTGCCCCTCTCCCTCTACCCTCCTCCCGTTCAAGCAGGAAGGGCGGGACATGTGGGCCATAGGCGTGTCATGCGTGGAGGAGCCGTGGCTGGCGCTGCTGGCAGAGGAGCTCGCAGCCCACCGCGACGACCTCCGGGAGGTGGCCGCCCACGTCACCGCTGTTGACGCCGCTCTTAGCAGAGCTGCTTATAACGAGGCACAGGAGGCAGGTGCAGTCGAGGGGAACGCTGCGGGTGGTGGGGCAGGAGGTGAGGGGGGGATGAATGGTGCTGGTGCGCGGGGGAGTGATGGGTGGGCGAGAGCGGGAGAGAGAGGAGGGGAGGGAGAGGAGGGGATGGGGAGGGGGGCGGTGGGGGTGGCGGAGCGGTATGGGGAGTTGCACGAGTGGCAGCGCGCGCTGAGGGACCTGAGCATCCATGTGAGGGGCGTGCGCCGCCAGGCCAACACCATGCAGCGCCTCATGCTCACCGTTGAAGCTGCCTCTGCTGCTGCCGCCGCTGCTTCTGCTGGTGCTTCTTCTACTGCCAGGGGGAGCACTGGTGTGACTGGGGCAGGGGGAGGGGTAGGAGCGAGTGGGAGCAGAACGCCGGGGCGTGGCAGTCGGGGGAGGGGGGAGAGCGATGTGGGGCCGCTGCTGGCGCGCATGGACGGCGATCTTCGGCAGTATGTGGCGGAGCTGGTGGGGCATGCGGGTGTGGCGGGCGGCGTGCTGAGTGTACTGGAAGAGGATTTGGACGAGGCGGAGAGGCGAGGGGAGGAGGCGGAGAAAAAGGGGGAGGTGGCAGAGGAAAAGGGGGAAGCGCAGAGAAGGGGCATGGTGGAAAGAGGAGAGAAGGAGGAGGGAAGAGGCGAGAAAGAGGAGGGCAGGCGGAAGGAGGTTGAGGGGAGGGCAGTGGGGGAGAGGATGGAGTGTGGAACTGCGGGGAAGAGGGGGAAGGAGAACGCACGTGAAGGAGGGACGAGGGATAAGGGAGAATTTCGAGGCACAGGTGCAGGGGAGGTGTTGAGAGAGAATGGGCAGGCGCGGGTGGGTCCGAATGCGAGCAGGCGAGAAGAGGGGGGTGGGCCTGATGTGACTGATATGACCGTTGTGGGTGATGGGGGGATGGAGCAGGCGGGTGGGAGGCAGAGGGAAGGCGCAGGCACGAGCAGTGTGAGGGGAATGGCGCAGGGGGGGATGAGGGATGGAGGGAAGGGGGCGGCAGGAGAGGCGGAGCAGGGTAGCAGTGGCGACGAAGGGTTTAATCCCAGGAGGGCGTACTCGGGGGAGGTACATCTGGCGCCAGGCGGAGCAGTCAGGGGAGAGGGAGAAGGAAGGGAAGGGACTGGGAATGGAGTTGAAAAGGGAGGTGCTGTTGGTGCTGATGGTGCTGATGCTGGCAGGGTTGCTAGTGGCGGGGTTGGGGTGGCGGGTTATGATGGGTGTGCAAGAGGGGGAGAGAGGGGCGGAGGAGGAGAGGGGGAGGAGGCGATGGGGGAGGGGGAGGCGGCGCTGGCAGCACTGGTATCGGCTCTGTGGTACGGCAGTGAGGAGGACCAAGAGGCTGCTGCCGAAGCTGTCTTGGAGGTACGGCCGAGGCTGTGATGGAGGTAGGTAGGTATGGCTGTGGAGGTATTGTGGGGTGAAGTGAACTCTCGTGAGTATTCAGAGGTGCTCGTGGATACACAACTACAAGCGTTCGTTCCCCTTTCCCATGCACTCCTGCTCCTCCCTTGCACACACTCTCGTGAGTATTCACAGGTGCTCGTGGATACACAACTACAAGCGTTCGTTCCCCTTTCCCATGCACTCCTGCTCCTCCCTTGCACACACTCTCGTGAGTATTCACAGGTGCTCGTGGATACACAACTACAAGCGTTCGTTCCCCTTTCCCATGCACTCCTGCTCCTCCCTTGCACACACACACACTCTCGTGAGTATTCACAGGTGCTCGTGGATACACAACTACAAGCGTTCGTTCCCCTTTCCCATGCACTCCTGCTCCTCCCTTGCACACACTCTCCTGAGTATTCACAGGTGCTCGTGGATACACAACTACACGCGCATGCCCTGCACATGCACTCCTGCTTCTTCCACGCACACCCATTCTCCTCCCTTGCTCACGAATCCTTCCTACCCACACCCATCTCTCCCACCAGGGCTGTGACACATGCACCATCACCGCCACGCCCTCCCTCTCAGCTCAGTGCTGTCCTGCCCGTCCCTCACATGCATTCGCTCCCCTGTCTCATGCACTCCTGCTCCTCCCTTGCACACACCTCCCCCACCAGGGCTGTGACACGGGCGCCATCACCGCCACGCCCTCCCTCGCAGCGCGCATATTGGCCGGCAAATGGCAACCTGCTCTCGCTGCCGCCCTCAAGCCGCCCTCCTCCCGCCGCCCGCCTGTCGTCCAATCAGCTGTCGCCACGTCACTCGTGTGCCTTGCTGTCTCTGACGAGCTGCGCAGTGCTCTGGCCTCCCAGGGGCTTCTTCAGGTGGGCAGCCAGCAGTTCCAGCTTGCAGGTGTGGCAAGAATGGTCAGGTGGTATGTGGATAGTTCTTGTTTCAGGTAATCGCAAAGTTTGCATTTATAGTGCAAAACGTGCGTTCTTGTTCAGGTAAATGCAAGAGACACGAGTGACGGTAAGTGGCGGTGTTCCCCACTTTTAGTCCACGTGGCTAGATTCTCAATCCCTAACTTGCGATTTCTTCTCTGCACTCCTTCTTCTCTCGCCCCCTTTCGCCCTCGCCACACCAGGCGCTGCTGCTGCATGTGCAGAAGCCACACCGCTTGATTCTCAGCCGCTGCCTGTTCGCCCTCGGCCAGCTGGCGCGCTGTGATTCGGTGCGCTGCCACGTCACCGATTCAGGGTCCATGTCGTTCCTCGTGCCTCTGCTGCGCTCCAAGGTGCAACCGCCGCCTCCACCCCCGTACCCCTGTTCTTCCGCTGTATCGTCTGGTATGGTGTCCCCTGATCTCCTCACTTCCACTTCGTCTGGCTCCTAAAACATTTGCTGCAACCTTGATGTTTCCACTACCAGCCGTCCTCCCCTCCCCACCCCCTCTTCCACCGACCAGTTGCACAACTCTCCCGCACCTTCCTATGTGATCGCAACTCCTCCCCCACCTCTCCCACCCACCAATCCGATCCCTACGTGTCCGGTTGTCATTGTCAGGAGGTAGAGGTGCGTGAGTCGGCCGCGCTGCTCTTCAAGAACACTGTCCTTTGAGGCGCCTCAAAAGTCAACTCCTCCCCCACCTCTACTATCCCATCACAACTCCTCCCACACCTCCCCAACCCGATCCCTGAAGTCGGGACACGGAGGTGTGTGCGTAAGTCTGCCTCCCTTTATGAGTCGATTCAAATTAAGAACTCCTCCCCTGCCCCACCAATCCGACCCCTGCTGTCAGGACGTGGAGGTGCGTGAGTCAGCCGCGCTGCTCTTCAAGAACATGGTCTTCCGCGACCCTCCTCAGGACAGCCAATCGCTGCTCGCCACGCGGGCGTGCATGGTCAAGCACGGCGCCGTGCCCCTGCTCCTCTCCGCCCTTTCCATTCCCACCGCTCTGCACCCCACTGAATCCAACAACAGCCCTTCAACCTCCAGCACAACCAGTGCAGAAGCACATGAGACAGCAGCAGCAACAGCAGCAGCGGCAGCGGCAGCGGCAGCAAGGGCGTGTATGAGTGGGGAGACAGAGGAGTATATGCTGGGGGTCATAGGAGGGTTGGCACAGAGCCCTCGCACAGCCGTGCCACTGCCCACCAGGAAGCTCATCGCCTGCATCATTCCCCACCTCGCCCACCCCTCCACCCCCACCGTTCGCGTCTACGCCCTCGCTGCCCTCGCTGCCCTCGCTAGGGTCACCCCGGAGGGTGATTCTAACGGGGGTGACAATGTGGAGGGGGCGGTGAGGAGGGTGGGGGGAGTGGAGAGGGAGGAGAGGGCGGAGGGGGGTGTGGTGGCGGTGGTGGAGTTGGAGGGGTTGGCGGCGGTGCTGCAGGTGGTGAGGGATGGGGCGGTGGGGGAGAGAGTGCGCCTGCATGCCGTCTCAGTGCTCTGCGCCATTGCTGGGCTGAAGAGCAGGTGAGATGCCCTCATGGGCTGCTGGCAGGTGAGGCGGGCAGTCGAGGCCGTGTGCTGCTTTGGAGTGAGGGTGTGCTAGGTAAGGAGATGTCAGTTGCGGGGGTGAGTGAGGTATGTCCATAAGCAGCCTGGATGTGACTGGCAATAGTTAGCGGCATGTGGTGGATCCGATGATATCGTCAAATTTCATACGCTCTTTCACCGCCTGTTTCCTGGACTTTCTTACCTCGCCTCCCCTCTGCTCACCACCCTCTCTCTCCCTCAGGGACTACCGCTCACTGATCGCCTTAGAAGGTGGCCTTCTCCTGCTCTCTCTCGTTGACCTTCTGCAGAAGCAGCTTCCCAACCCCATCCTCAACCTCCCTCACCTGCCCCTTCTTCTCCTCCCACCACCCTCTCTCTCCTTCAGGGACTACCGCTCACTGATCGCCCTAGAGGGTGGCCTTCCCCCGCTCGTCGCTCTCCTCTCCCCCGCCTTCCCTCTCGACCTGCGCCTGCTCTCCGCCACCACACTCCGCCTCCTCTCCCTCTCCCCTGTCGCCCGCCGCTCAATCCTCCTCACGGGCGCGCTGCTCCCTCTCGTTGACTTGCTCAGAGAGCAGCTGCCCAACCCCTTCACGAACGTGAGCGTGGCAGCGGCTGTGGCAGCACTGGTGCCGCGAGGAGAGGAGGGGATGAGTGCGAGGGGACCGGTGGGGCTGTGTGCGCCGGTAGAGGAGCAGCTGGTGCTGGTAGGAGCTGTGCCACTGCTGGTTGCTGTGCTGCTACGTGCTGGTGGTGGTGGTGGTGGTGAGGATTTGGTGGGAAGTGGTAGTGGGATGGGAGAGGAGGGAGCAGCGAATGAGAGGGAGGTGAGGGGAGCACTGAGGCGGGTGGCTGAGGTGAGCAGGAGGGGAGCAGAGGAGATAGTGGCGTGTGGAGGGGTGAGGCTAATAGACAGCCTTTTATCACGCTAGGGGCATAGTGTGCAGATCCGAGGTCGGCAAATGTTTAAAGACGCATCAGAATGCTAGGGATCTAGTGCGCATAGAGGCCTAAAGATGTGTCTGAATCAGATGGTCATTGCTCATGTCCAGTGAACCTGAAATGGAAACGGCAATGAGTCATCCCACGGCCCATGACTGACACATAGTGTTTCAGTGCACCTACGGTAGACGTGGAAAGTGAGCTGGTGAGACGAATGTTTATCCCATGTCAATGAGACACACACAGAATTGAACCAGTCCATACATCGAAATGGTTACATCAAGAGCAACATTATTTCTAGCAACAATTAATCTCAACAAGTGGCACATTGGTCGCTACTGTCACCACCTGGCCACTAACTACGATGCCAATCAGTCAGGGATCCGACAGCTAGTTTCGCGCCTGTATACAAGTTGCTTTGCACATCCAGTCACCCCGCCTGGTCGTGCATTCGGAAACCCCTCGACGCCATCTGGCTGCGCGCGTTACGCCTTCCACGCGGCCTTGGCGCTCTGCGCCTTGCCGAGCGCGGACGCGAGCAGACTATTGTCGGCGCCGCCGGCGGGGAGCATCATGCTCACACCGTTGATGGTGGCGATCGAGTTGTCGATCTGCCCCGCCACCAGCGCGCGCTGTCCCATGCGAATCAGCGTCGCCGCGTTGCGCAGCGTCGCCGCCGTGTCCGTCAAGCTCTTGACGTACATCTTCATCGTCAGCTTCGCCCTGGCGCTGTCCACGTCAACCGCCGCCGCCTCCAGCAGCGATACCACCTTCGAGTCCGCGCCGCTCAGCTTCACTGCGGGAGTTCCAGCGGGGGTGCCGCCGGGAGTGGCGGGGGTTGTGGGAGTGGGAGGAGTCTTCTTGCCGCCCTTCTTGGTCGGAGTGGTGGGAGTGGTGGGAGTGGAAGGGGAGGGCGTGGGAGGGGAATTCTTGTTCTTCTTGTCTTTCTTCTTGTCCTTCTTGTCCGTCTTGTTTTTGTGGTCATGATGAAGAATCCTCCTCGTCGCAGCTTCGTCGCTAAGAGAATTAACGGCATTCAGCTGAGCCAGATCGCCGGGCATATCGGCAGCAAGTGCGGACGAGGCAGCCTCGGAGACGGCGAGCTCGGCGGAGGTGTTGAGGCAGAACGACGTGAGGGCGAGCGCCACCAGGGGCAGAGCGCAGGCTAGCGCGGAGATTCTCAAGAACGCCATAGCAAGTCTTCGGAGAAAAGAGGGATTGCTGGGAAATCAGCAGGTGCGCTTGAAGTGCTAGTGTGTGAAGCTGGGATGAGATGCGATGGTGGAAAGGAGTTACGAGAGCAATTTATAGGAGTTACTACGGGATGAGGTGATGGATGGGAGGATGACGAGGCTGGGAAGGAATAATCTCAAATCTCTCAACTCAATTGAGATGGATTGTGCGGCTCGAGAATTGTGAGAGGGCGACTCGGAAAAGGGGTTCTCTACTTGTCGGCGTTGGCGAACCTTGACGGAGGAGAGCACGTCGTACGCAAGCAGTCGAACCGTTCAGTGTGACGGGGGTGATTCATATGTGGTTCAGGCTTGGTGGTAGTTTTGATAGCCTTTCGAGGTCGGGGGAAACCATCAGGGTACGCTCATGTCGGTGTCCCGGGTTGACCATTTTTACCACGGATTTTTTTGCCACCCGCTACTTTGACGGTTGTGGAACCCTAAAAGTTCCCGCCCAATGGAAGCGCAAGTAAGCCTAGCCTCCGTCCATTCACGATTTGACACTTAGTTCATAAAACCCTCTTATAGCATTCTGGCTTGATTATACGAACAACCTACTGTCAAGCAGGTTGGAATCTCCCTATGTGGCTAAACCCTCTCCGACTTCTTGATCAATGCAGGGGCAGTTCTTGGTTTGACTCTGTGTGCGTTCCTCCACTCCCACGAGGTCTCCTCTGTGACTACCCACTGTAAATCTAATAGTACTCAGTTAACTATCGGTTTCAAGAAAATTCCTGAAAATCCTGCGAAACTCCTGTGAGTGCATCCATTCGTGGAAGTTCTATTCGCCGTGAAAGTCGGGAGGCTGGATATATACACAACTTCGATTATTTACGAGTACCCTAGACACCTACACAGAACACATACACAAGCAGGTTCAAAATGTTGATTTGGAAGAATCCAAAAAGAGCTATGTGAGTATGCTCTAAATAAAAGATTTCCGCAGCCATTTGATATCAAGAGTTTAAATTGTCAACATCGGTGCTGCATGCACTTTGAATTCACATCTCTAGCCAATTATAATTAGCTCCACATTGTTGCACCTAACTTAGACATTCTGAAACATTTGTTACAAACAGAAAGAAAAACGCATAAGGGCATAAAAATGGTATATATAACATCCTATACATATTATAGTATAACCCAACCTAGTAGTATTGGCCCCTGAGGCCAAGTGCACTACCCGCGCTTGGCCACGTTGCTGCAGCATACGCATCAGGAAGTATCGCAGCTGGACGTGCTTCGCTGTGCCCTCTAGTCTAGGCTCGTGACACAGGAGGATCATGGCCCTGTTATCAGCGAACAGGACCGGGGCAGAGCTAGGCGACTCACCCAAGTCAGTGAGCAAGAACGTCTGCCGACAAAGCTCCTGATCAGCCATAGCGCCACCGGAGTAATCTGCTTCACATATGGACTGTGCCACTGGCGATGAACAAGTAGACCTCAACGAGACCGCTCCTGCGCCAAGGCTGAAGCAGTAGCCCTGAAAGGACCTGAGAGTCTCGATGACGTCTGCCAATCACGCGTCAGTGTGTCTCGTTAGTGCAACTGGCTGTTGTCCTCAGAGCGCAAGCCCCAAGCCTGATGGTTTGGCCAGATAGCGCAATACCCTCTTAACAGCCAACCAGTGCTCAGGTTGGTGTCTGCCAGTCGCAACAAAGCGAGCTTTGATGCTAAGAGGATATGCAAGTTCTAGGCGAGTGTAGGTCATCAGGTACATGAGGCACCCCACCACCTCTGCGTACTGACCGCTGGACTGTACATGGCAAGCAGGCGGAGGAGTAGGCTCTGTAGAGAGGAATTGAAGGCCAAAGCATTGGAGGATCTGCTGTACCATGTGAGACTGAGTGAGAACGATGGTGCGCGCTGCTCGGTCCCTAGTGATCTGCAGGTCAAGATAACGGCGCATCTCACCTAGGTTGGTGTAAGCGTGTCTCCTCAGCAGCTCGGCCTTCATTAAGGTCAGTGCAACTCTGTCAGGAATAGCAAAGAATAGGGCGTCTATGCACACCAGAATGTAGAACAATATAGAGCCAGAGCGAAAGCAGAGAGACGGGTCAGCAGAGGACGAAAAGAAGCGGAGGTCAGCCAGATTAGTGCGCAGCGTATCGTGCCACTCACGAGGAGCTTGACGCAGACCGTAGACGCACACCTTGAAGATCCGCATGCCATCGACTATGTTCGCCCCAGAAGGGAGAGTTGCGCCCACGTAGGTGCGTGTGGACCTCCAAGATGCCATCTTTGTGTCTGTGACTGGTATCCACCGAGAGGCTCAGGGTCCTGAGATAGATGTCAGATTTATATGACATAGCTACTGTAGGCTATAGTGGGGTAGCACATATGGGGTACAGTTTTCTAGGGTTTACATTTGTACCCAACTTTCCCTTAGTCAATCCATTCTCGTTCAGTTTCTCATGGTATCGAGCAGGTTCCCCTGTGGGAACTGTTCCTAGGGCCCACCACCTTTTTTTTCCTGCCCGGAGCGCGCTCTACACTGCCCGAGTCGCGCTCCCCTCTCTCGACCCTGTCGCGCCGCCTTAGCGGCCCCGTCGCGTCGCCCTCGCGGCCCCTGCACGTCGCGCCACCCTAGCGGCCGCGTCGCGCCGCCCTCGCGGCCCCGATCCGCCGCCCTCGCGGCTCCTTCGTGTCGCGCCGCCTCGCGGCCCTTTCAAGCCGCCCTCGCGACCCCCCCCTCCTAGCCGTCCTCGCGGCCCCGTCGCCTACCCCTGCGGCCCCGGCGCCGCCCTTCCCTGCCTCGGCGCCGCCTCTGCTGGCCCTGCCGCCTACCCCTGCGGCCCCGGAGCTGCCCTTCCCGGCCCCGGAGCTGCGCTTCCCGGCCCCGGCGCCGCCTCTACTGGCCCCGACGCCGCTCCACCCGGCCCCGACACCGCTCCACCCGGCCCCGACGCCGCTCCACCCAGCCCCGCCGCCGCTCCACCCGGCCCCGCCGCCGTCCCCACGCGGCCCCGCCGTCACCACCGAGCCGCCGGCGCCGCCGAGTTACTGCCGAGCCGCCCGATCCACCAGAGCCGCCCGAGCCGCCGCGCCACCTGAGCCGCCCGAGCCGCCGAGCTGCAGTTGCTGCCGAGCCACCGTACCGCCGAGCCGCCCGAGCCGCCCGAGCCGCCGAGTCGCCGAGTCGCAGTTGCTGCCGAGCCGCCGTACCGCCGAGCCGCCCGAGCCGCCCGAGCCGCCGAGTTGCCGACCCGCCGAGCCGCTCGAGCCGCCCTGTCCGGTAAGAGCAGCGCCTCTGTCACTGCACTGCCCTTACCCTACTGTTCGCGCTGCTAGTCTACTGCTGTCATGGCTACCCCTAGTGTCCTCGCTTTTGACGCTGAGGGTCGGGCCATTGACTTTGACGTCTGGGTAGATGACCTGCAGCTTTTCCTACAGTGCGATAGGGCCGACGGTCTCTCCCTCTTTGACCTCACCTCTGGTGCCTCTCCTGCCCCTGCTGCTGATGCCGACGCCACTGTTCGCTCACAGTGGGCCACACGCGATGCTGCTGCACGTCTTGCTGTGCGTCGCCACCTGCCTACCTCTGAGCGTGCGCACTTTAGCCAGTACAAGAGTGCTCACACCTTGTACGACGCTGTAGTTGCGCGCTACTCCTCCCCTGCCACTGCTGCACTGAGCCGCCTCATGCTACCGTACCTCGTCCCTGACCTTGCTGCCTTTCCCACAGTCGCTGACCTCATTACGCACCTCCGCACTAGTGACACTCGCTACCGCGCTGCGCTTCCTGCTGAGTTCTGCGCCAAGAACCCCCCCCCCATGTACATCACCCTCTACTACATAGTCACCCGGCTCCCTGACTCCCTTCGCTTCCTCTAAGTTTGCCCCACCACTCTCACCGTTGACCTCCTCGAGAAGGCCCTCCTAGCAGCAGAGAAGAGCATAGTCGCTGTAGGAGCCTCTCGTGGTGACCCTCGCACCCCCGTCTTTGAGGGGTGTTCCCCCTCCCCCCTTTTGCCCTCTGTTGCCTCTGCTGCTGCGGCCGACCTCGTTGGTTTCGAGTCGGTCGGCGCTGCGTCTGCCCCGAGCGGGAGACGCCGCACCGGCAAGGGCAAGGGGGGCAAGGGTGCTGGAGGGGCTGGCGGGGGTGGCGGAGGTGGCGGTGGCGGCAGTGGAGGGGGTGGGGGTGGTGGTGGGAGTGGTGGCGGGGGTGGAGGTGTCGGTGGCGGCAGTGGAGGCGGAGGCGGCGGCGGCGGTGGCGGTGGGAGCGGAGGTGGCGGAGGTGGCGGCGGTGGAGGAGGCGGCGGCGGAGGAGGTGGAGCTGCGCAGCTACCTTGGCTTGCAGATCACCCGGGACAGAGCACGCCGCACCATTACCCTGACTCAGTCACACATGGTGCAGCAGGTCCTTCAGCGCTTCGGCTTCACGTACTCCTCGCCTCAGGCCACTCCTCTGCCTACTCGCCACTCGCTCTCAGCTCTGCCTTCGGATGAGTCCGTAGAGTCGAGTGGCCCGTACCCAGAGCTTGTTGGCTGCCTCATGTACCTGATGACCTGCACACGACCTGACCTCGCATACCCTCTTAGCATTCTCGCACGCTATGTTGCTCCTGGGAGACACAGACCGGAGCACATGGCTGCAGCGAAGAGGGTGTTGCGTTACTTGTGCAATACGTCGGGCATGGGGCTTGTGCTTGGAGGGCAGAGTCCAGTGGTCCTCACTGGGCACGCAGATGCTTCTTGGGCTGACGACCAGGCTACGCAGCGGTCGTCACAGGGTTACACCTTCAGCCTTGGTTCCGGCTCTGTTTCGTGGCGGGCTACCCGCTCGTCTTCTGTTCTCGGCTCCAGTTGTGAGGCTGAGATCTACGCCGGGGCCATGGCTGCACAGGAGCTTCGCTGGCTCACCTACCTGCTGACTGACCTCGGAGAGCCGCCTCATTCTCCTCCAGTGCTGTACGTAGACAACAAGGCCATGCTGGCCTTGTGTCGAGAGCAGAGACTGG